TCCCGCTCCAGACAGACGCAGGTTAAGATCCTCCCTGGTAAGCCAGCTCGTGGGCTACACAGAATATTAGAAATGGGTTAGAACAATATGTAAGAGCTAGCCATAAGGAACTGGAACTATCCGGGCCAGGCAGTGTTTGAAAGAATACAGTTTCCGTGTAATTATTTCTGGGTATAAACTAGCCATGCGGGCGGCCGGGTGCCGGGGACGCAGCACTGCCGCTCCTATTTCAACAGGGACAGCCGTGGATAATGTGTAGGAGAAAAAAAGAACAATTTTGCAGTGTTTGAGATGTCTACATGAAGTGGATCTCAACACGCACACACACACACACACACACACACACACAAAACCAAAAATATTCCAACAGTTCATAAACCTCTCCAAGGTCAGCAATGAAGAAGAATAGCTGCCAATAAATTCACCATGTTGATTCAACAATCCTGCTGAGTAATAGTTCTGTTCCAGTAGCCAATGATATTGCTGTTTTGTGTTCTTTTGACCTAAATAAGAGTCATATTTTCTCAGAGACTAAAAGACAGGGCCAAGTGCCTGGATTTCTTCCATCTCTTCATTAAAAGAGCTTTAAAAATAACTCTATTGAATAGGAAACTTCTAAAGACTTTCAGGTATGTCCAGTCTGTGTCCTGTGGATGGCATGTATCCCTGAGTAGCTATGAATATGGACCCACACATTTTTAGACCACAGCATCATATTACAATGTCAAAAGGTTGGACACTTCGGCAAGCTACATGTCTAAGCTAGCCAATATTTCACAACCAAGTTCCATGGTAGCTAGATATTAGATTCTTCAACTTGAAGATAAGGAAACCAAAGGATAGAGAAGAGGTAAAGCTAAGATTTGAACTCAAATTTGAGAAACCCAAAACTTAATGTTCCAGTTCATATTTGGAAGACATTTGTCCATCATTCAGGAGCTAGTATTCAAGCCAAAGACAATTGCTGCTCTTGTATTTCTGTTCTTCTGTTAAGTCGATTGTGCTCATATAATGGCTAAACTTCATTATCAACTTGACTAGAGTTAGAAACACCTAGGAGATGCTGAGGCATACCTCTTTTGATATGACAGTGAGAATGTCTCTGGGAAGAGTTATCAAGGGTGGGGAAAGGCCTGCACGAAATATAGCAAACACCATAAAGCAAGCTGGGGACCCCACAGAATAAAAGAGGAAAAAGAAGCATGCTAACAAGGGACAGACACACTTTTCTTTTGCTTCCCAGTCTGCTGTGACATTCTACCACACCTTTCCTGCCACGATTGAACAACACCTCTGAAAGCATGAGCCAAAGCAAATCTTTGCCCTTAAGTTGCCTTGCTAGGTATTGGGGCCACGGCGAGAAATTGTTAATAAAGTTCTTTTAGGAATCATTGAAACGTGTATGTGAGAACTTCTCAAGAGACTTAAAATGGGTAGGAAAATGAGTTTTGAAATCCGATGAACTTGGATTCATTTACTAACTCTGCTATGCATAAGCTCTGTGAATTTCACTTAAGAGCCCTGAGCTTCAGTTTCTTCATCTCTAAAATCTTTTGGAAATAATGATTCCTACTTCTCGGGCCAAGGATTATGTAAATTTGGTAAAGGGTTAATTGCAGTATCCAGCCCCTCACAAGCAATCAACAAATACCACATACCATGAAAGCTGGAAAGGAGGGTTTTATGGTCACTCTAAGGTTAAACTCCAGTTTGACATTATGAGTACCAAGAAAAACCCAGACGCTGCAGCCAAGCAAGTATACTACCAACAAACAAGGAAAGCCTGCTCTTGAGAAAAGGAGCCAGGCATCAATCACCCACTGAGTCAGACAGCTGCTGCGTCCTGCTGGCCAACAACCCAGTCTATGTACTGATGGATTTGGATGGAAAAGGACATGGGGTTGCTTGCTACTAGACAGTAGCTCAGTCTTCAGTGCCATACTTAAGGAGTCTCCTCCTTAAAATCAGAGAACAAAGCTGGCCTCGTCTTCAGTTTGTTTATCTTTTTCCCCAGAAGTTTTTTATAATAAGCCATAGGGAACTCAAAATGCAAGACTTAGTTTCTTCATCTTCAGAAGATGGAAACGAAATAAGGAAAATGTGCTTATATTCAGAGGCAAAAATTCTAATTAATTCATTAAAGCAATGTTCAGTTTATTTTGAGGCATTAAATGAACTTCCCTGAATATGATTTTCTGTGAAATCAGGAGCAGTAGAAGTTGCTACAAGAACAAATAAAATGTTACATATGAAAGTTCTTTGTAAAATATAAAGGATATTCAATTGGTGAGTGTGCTAATATAGACAAACATGTGCAAAGGAAAACACTAAGACTCAAAATTGTAGCAGGCGTGGTTAAAAATTCTAATATTGAATTATAAATGGTGAATCATTCACATATTGCTGCTGCTGCTGTTGTTGTTTTGACTTCCAAGATTTTAGAAAAAGCAAGGATAATTTGAAATAAGCAAAGAAGTCAATTGAGCCCTGCAGGAAAATTATAGGGAAAGTTTGAGGGCAGTATTTAGGACTGTAGATGGCAGTAGTTCTTCAGAATATTTCATTCCTCTTTAAATTGCAGGGCTGCCCGTTTTCTTCACTTGAGTTGGGGGGAGAGTGAAGAGCTACACAAATGACGTGCTCTCCAAGACCTTAAAGAAGAATAAGGTATGTACTGGTATCTTTTAAGCCTAGAAGCATGAACTTCACCCCCAAGTCCCACCCCTAAACAAATCTCCCCCTGCCTCTCCTGGATCCCCAGCTGAGCCCAGGCACCCAGGGCTGCATTGACATCATGTGGCCACTAGGGGCCATCTTAGTGATCCCCTAAAATCGTGTAAACACGTGGAAGTTGGTCTATTTCTCTTCTTTGTTTTTCTGAGATAGGCTAAAATATTTCAAAAGCGAGCTCATGGAGAAACGAAGAAAAAACAACCTCGAAATGAGCAAGAACAAGTAGGGAGCAGAAACTCCAATGAGTTCTGACAGCATTAATAGTCTGCCTATACTTTCATTAACTCTAATTATGTAACTTGGCAGTCACCTACTGAAATTTACATGAGCATGTTCTCCAGCCAAGAAATTCTGCTTTCAAGTTTCTACACAGAGCAATTCTTGCTCATCAGCAGAACGAGGCATTCATAAGAATTCTCACTACACTAGTCTTTATAACCTCAGAAGAAGGGGAGTTGGAGGCACAAAAAGGGGCGAGGAGGGAGGCATAAAAAGTAGAACATTTATATCATCTTGTTTATTCCAAATAATAGAATATAGTGCAAGTGTGTAAAGCGAGACATCTGTCTATAATAACAACAGAAAGTGCTATGGCACATATTGCTCAAAGTATAAAACAAGTTGTAAAACGAAGCTTAGTGTAGGATGTTATTTATGTAAAAAATACAACACCGAACAATATATTTCTGTTTATATGTGTATATGTAGTAAAAATCATATAAAATTTTGAGAAGCTGCATGTCAAACTGATGGTGGAAGGTATATTAAAGAGAATCTTTGCTTTTTCTTCATTGTGTGGCTTTAAATGAGAATGTATTTCATACACTTATACTTTCAAGTTCAGTTTAACAATATGTTTGTAAATTCCAGCCAGTCTAGAAACTCGAGATATTTTCATTGCATCTCTAGTTGGCATAGGCTTTCCCCTCTGGTACAAAGTGCATTCTACTTTAGACTGTGACCTTCCTGTGTTCTTCAGTAGTCTGGTTGAAATTTCTCTCTCTTGCATCATTTCATTTATTCAAATTCTTCAGTGATGTTGTTAACCCTCAGTGTACTGCAACATTTTATTTTTCTCTGTATAATGACGCATTTCTGGGACCTAATACTCTTATTTAATAGTAGAAAAACAAAAATTTTTGGCCTCATTTAAAGAATTGAGTATAAAATGCCTTGTATAAATTAAAAGGATGAATATGTTTATAGGTGTAAATGAAAACATGCTTAACTCAAGGCAACTCATGGAGAGCAGGAAATAAAACCCAAGAATGGGCACTGGGTCCTAAGGCTTGAACTTCCCCATCCAGATTGGCAAAACAGAAGTGACAACTAGTTCAGAAACTCTTGCCAGCCTCAAGAAGCTGGAATAGTCAGCTCTGACATGAACACCCTGCACAGATCACCACGCTGGCTCACACAGACCCTCCAGGCTGTGGGTTTCTTTTCCATCGCTGGTTTTTCTCAGCCACCAAGTCTCCAAGTCATACCGACGAAGGGCTTAAACCAGGGTAGATATGGGTAGGGTATTAAACCTATACCAATGGAACAGTTAATAGAAATTCAAGGTCAAAAGTCAGCCACAAGTTTTACAATCTATACCTAATATTAGAGGCAAGCTTCAAGCACAAATTTCTGTTCAAAGACTTAGTAAGTTTCATGATACTAGCATGAGGTGTGTAAATTTGCTAGGGCAAATTGATACTACAGAATCAGGCCATACAGTATATGTCTGCCACCTAAACAGTCCATCTAGAAGCACTTGCAGTGATGATGCAGGGGTCCAGCTCATCCAAAACCTGTTTGCTGATCCATATCTTCTGGAAAGTGGATATCAAGGCCAAGGGGGGACCACATCCACTGTGTATTTTTGCTCGGGAGAACTATGATCGTGGGCTTCACCATGCTCTGTGCCAGAGTTTTGATGTCTTTTGGCATGCTGGCAGCATAGTAGTGCCACCACCCAGAACTGAGTTGGTTTATAGGTCTTTGTTAATGTACACATCACATCTTATCATGGAGCTGAATATTATTTATAAATAACCCCAAAACTTTATAGCCAAAAAAGGAAGGCTAGAAGTGACTTTTGGACACAGGTGCTGATTGCTCTTTGACACTGGTAGTTAGCTACCCGTCAAGAAGCTTGTAGCTTTTCACCAGGTTTGATGAGGAAGAAGCCATGGTTATTCCTTACTCCAAGTCTCTGGCAACATGCGGCATCTTTTCCTTGACATCAGCACAATTCTCCACTCAGCAGTGTTGGTGAAGGTGTACTTTGTTCTGTCCATATCTTCATGAGGCAGTTTGTTGCCTCGCAGATAGCTAAGTCCAGGAAGGGCACCACCCTGGTAAATCAGCACTCTACGCGTGACTTTATTGCCAAAGTCCATGGCAGTGCTCGTGGTGCACCCAGAGGAGTATGGTAACAGCATGGCCTGAATATTCAGTGTGTTGGAGGTCTCGAACGTCATCTGCATCACCTTCTTTCTCTTAGCCTTTGGGTTCTGGTATGGGTGCATGGTAGCTCATTCAGCACCAGATGTTCCTTGTAGGGTGTGCACACCTCACTGTGGAAGACGAATAACCTAGTCTTCTCCCTGCTATCCAAATATGTGACTGTGCTGTGTGGGGATACTTCAGAGACAGGACACCTCACTTGCCCTGAGCTTCATTGACCATGCAGGATTCCTTCTGATCCATGATGCCGTATGTCAGGAGTTGCCAACCAAGGAATGGAATACAAGCAACTTTGAACATGCCAGAGCCATTATCAATGACAAACGCCTCAGTTTTTTTCTTGTGATCCATGGAAGATAGAGCAACCAAGCAGCAAAAGGGCACAGAATGCAGGCCAACAGTGTGAGTGACAGTTATCACTCCACTATTTGCTAGGGAATGAAAATGAAATTACCAAGCCAGGCGGTGGTGGTGCACGCCTGTAATCCCAGCACTCGGGAGGCAGAGGCAGGTGGATCTCTGTGAGTTCGAGGCCAGCCTGGTCTACAAAGGGAGTCCCAGGACAGGCTCCAAAGCTACAGAGAAACCCTGTCTCAAAAAACCAAAAAAAAAAAAAAAAAGAAAATGAAATTACCAGATAAAAACATATATACCCCTTCTGACAATCTGAAAACTAAAATTAGTATTTTCAAGTGGAAAGAGCTTAAATTCAAGAATGTATGGAAATGAACACCTAAGTTTTCTTGTCTATAGAATGGGATGAAATGCTGCCAAGATGATAAAGGCTCTCCCAAGGGTTCAAGAAAGCAGGATAAGTAACCCTTTGAGCTAAGCCCCAAAATTAAGACAATGGTTTAAACATTGTCTGACTAATCTCTCTATAAAAGTAGTAATTGCTTTGGTTAATCAAAATTATGTTCTTTACTGTGTTATGTGCTTATTCTGTCTTCTACCTATCAACTAATTCAATCCTATCTACAACACTATAGGCCAGGCCTGGTGGCAAGACCCATAATCCCTGATACATGGGAAGCTGAAGCAAGAGGACTGCAAGTTCAAGGCCTGCCTATGTTGTACTCTGAATTTCAGGGCAGCCTTAACTTAACGAGATCCTGCATCAAAACTATAAAGTAAAAAGAGAGTTGCAGATGTAGCTCAGGGGTACAGCAGCTACCAAGAACGTACAAAGCCTGGGACTCCATGCCTAGTCCTAAAACATGAGAACAAAATTATGCCCATTTCCATGTTCAGGTAAGGGAATTGAGGCCCAGTTTATCCACCTTTCCCAGAGTTTCTCAGCATTTGAAACCAGTCAGTTCAACACCAGAATCCATTTTGGCTATTTTGTTTGTAAGTTTTTGTTCCGTTTTATTTTGGTTTGCATGGTAGCAAGGCTTGGATGAGGGTTTCACTCATGTCAGGCCAGGGCTTGTTTTGAGAAACTTTGGTGGGCTTTGGTTGTTGGTTTCTTTACGTCCCATATTTCTATAGTATCTCTCTCTCCTCCAAGTCCTCTAACCCATTTGCCTTTGTCTTCATTCACTGAACAGATATCTATTGAAAACCTACAGTATACCCAGTACTGTCTTAGGTAGACTGTCTTAGCAGGGAAAAGATAACATATCCTTGCCACCATGAAGAGTAACAACAGTCATCCCAAATAAACCATAATGTAGCAATATGTGCTCTGAAAAAAAGAATACAAAGATGAGCCCTATTTGTTTTGTTCACCTGTCCCTGGATATATTTCTTTTAGGAGAAAGTTGGGTTTGCTGTCTGTTTTGAGCTGACAGGGAGGCATGACAGCTTTTTCTTCATCTTATGCCTTTTTGCCTCCTGGAAAAACTACTGCTTGTTCCCTTTCACAAGCTCAAATACCTAAAAGGTCTACCCATGTTGTTCTTATTTGAATAAGAGCCCAAACCCTACTTAGCTCATTTACAGGGCAAAGATTGCAGGTTGCTCAGATCTCTACTAGGTCATCTACATTAAAGAACTTCTTTTTGGCACCCCCTTCTCAAATTTATGATCTCACAACATTCCAACCAAGCCATTATGCTACTATTAAAATATTTCCAACATTTCATAACCATCTACTCCACACCTGCCTAACCCTTTAAACCTGGCATTCTGCTATGTATTGTTCAACACATCTAAAAATAAGTCAAGCCAGATGGTGGTGGCACATGTCTTTAACACCGGCACTCAGGAGGCAGAGGCAGGTGGACCTGTGAGTTCAAGGCCAGCCTCATTTACAGAGTGAGTTCCAGGAAAACCATGGCTGCACAGAGAAATCCTGTCTCAAACAACAACAACAAAAATAAGTCAAATGCATACATGCGACAAACCTGATGTATCAAAAATATTCTATAAATTAACAGCTGTCTTTGATGTGGACTCTAACAGTCCCTCCCAGTCCAGTTCCCCCTCTGCAGCTGTTTGATCCAGTGAACTATTTTCAATCATTCATCTTGTTTTAC